ATTCAAAATTTATCATTACGATAAATTTTTGAATCCAGGGGTGTCCAAAATTTATCGTTACGATAAATTTTGGGTTCAGAGGTGTTCAAAATTTATCGCCACGATAAATTTTTGAATCCAGAGATGTCCAAAATTTATCGCTACGATAAATTTTGGGTTCAGAGGTGCTCAAAATTTATCGCTACGATAAATTTTTGAGTCTAGAGGTGTTCAAAATTTATCGCCACGATAATTTTTGGGTTCAGAGATGTTCAAAATTTATCGCTACGATAAATTTTTGAGTCTAGAGGTGTCCAAAATTTATCGCCACGATAAATTTTGAGATTTTAGGTCATCCATAAAATTCTCATTCATGAGAGTGCCATCCAACGCCCAACCGGATCGCACACTGCCTCCGCGCACGGCGCGTAAAAAAATGAACGCTGCTGTCAGGGTCGAATTCGAGAAGATTTGATTGTTATTTGTGTTTTGATTGTGAAGATTTGTGAAGGGTGGGAAGGTCTGGATCGGTCGATCGAGCTTTCATCTACTGTTTGTTGTGGGTTGAGTGCATGGTTCAATGTGTTGCGCCTGTGGTGTGCCAAGGTCTCACCGCTGGCAATGGCTTGCAGGCGCTTACTGCGTCGGGAGTTCACTGCCTGTTGGTTCAGGTAAAGGCTCTTCCAGGGAGTGAGTCAGAGTGCACTCCGTCCTCTATTTTTGCATTGGTCACCATGAGTCACGGCTTTTGACATTTGTACGCAACTGTGCAGTTGGACCATTTATGCATGGTTCTTGGACGCCGAGTTCATGAACTTCGAATTTGTTTTACGTTTCTCTTGCGTCAGGCGTCAACTCGACTAACGTTGGGCGTGTGGCGCCGAGTGTGCACGCATCAAATGACAGAAGCAGTGCATTCTTGCGTTTTTGACATTCTGCACGCATCAACTGACAGAAGCAGTGCATTCTTGTGAGTTCAGTTGACGTCACACACAGTGGAAGTTCACCATGCAGGGTCATTGCACTCGCCGGGTGGCCGCAGGGCTGTGCATGAACATACGGCTCGCAAGTTGGCTTGAGAGTTCAACGTTCACCCAAAGCATATCATCAAAGTGCACTGTCACTTCATGGCGCTTGGTTTGAGCGACGGTCTGTGGCAGTACAAAGTGCTGAAGCGTCGGTCGACCTCACAGGAGTGGTGGGACGTTCCCAGTGGTTGGGTGAAGTTTGGGAAGGAAAGGAGTGAGAAGGTGCAAAGAGCAATGGATTCCGGAGTGGTGGGATCGTGGATCATGTTACAGATGATGCCGAACGTTTCCTACAAGTTCTGGGTGGATGAGTTTGCGGAGGGGGGTAGGGGCATGGTGTTGAGCCGTGATCAAAGGAAGGGCTTCACAGTGTATTTGTACTGCCGCCCTATCAAGCCAGTGCTGGGAGAGCTCGTCATGATGGATGGTGACAAGGATGGCATGTTGCTCTACACCTTCACCAAAGCGTTTACTGGAGACTGGTTGCTCACATCATTTGGCATGATGTAGTAAGAGTATCATAGACACCTGGTAAAGTCGTCAGCCCTGGTGTTTCCCTGTGTGTCCCAACCGGAATTCATGGACTCTTTCGCTCAAGAGGATAAACAATCATTTGACATTATATAGCACTAAAGTAGCTAGGCTTTGAAAGTGTGCGGTGGAAAGCTCAGGCTCACATCCGGTGAGATCAGTGATGATGAGACTGTGGCCAGCATCTACACCCGCTTTCAGTCTGCCTTGAAAGAACCCAAGACTCGGAACGCTTGGGACATCTCAATGTCACGTTTTTTACATCGTGGCCAGACAGTGAAGAACAGCAACATGAAGCTTAAGAAGTTGCACCTGAAGAAAAAGTAGACGCGGATTCTGACATCTGAATTTGCCGCGGTTTTTGAATGTAGTGCCACGTCGACAAACCCCTAGTGACAGCATGAACAGCAGCAGTTGTTCGAGCTGCGTCGAATGCTTTGACTTGTCGAACAGCGGTGGTCAAGAGTATAAATCAGAGTTGCTCACGACGCGTCGGATAGTTTTACTTTTGTTGAGCAGAAGGGGTCAAGAACATAAGTCACAGTTGTTCACGCCGCGTCGAATGCACTGACTTTTTGTTGAGAAGAACGGGTCAAGAACATCAGTCACAGTTGTTCAAGCCGCTTCACATGCTTTGACTTTTTGTTGAGAACATCAATCGCAGTTGGTCAATTGAGCCGCTTCAAACGTGTTGACTTTTTGTTGAGAAGAAAGGATCTCACACATCAGTCACAGTTGTCACGCTTTTGAAAACGATGCATTCTTTGCAGCAGTTTCTACCTTTGGTTGAGGCGTGAGGTATGTAGCTTGTGAACGAAACAATTGTTCAACAAACAGTGACACGCAGGGCTTGTCGTGCGCAAGCTCGCCCTTGCAAGCACGTGCAGGGCCTGTTGACACCGGCTCGCTACACGTGCCACTATGGTCCAAGTTTTGGGCAACGAATCTTTAGTTGATTAGAGTCGATCCTGAGGACGACTCATGAGCGCCACAGAGCAGCTGGCGCAAAACCTGCAGGAGACTGCAGACTTCCTGCATGTTCAGAAGAGCGTCCTGGACCAGCCCACGTGGAAGATGGTGGTGGAGCAGCAGACTTCCGTCATGCTGAGGCGGTTGGAGCTGCTAAACACCCTGTCGCCTGGGGAGGCCACCGCCATCGTGAAGCTGGTGACAGAGTCAAAGCTGGGAGAGATTGATCCACAGTGGAGAAGCAAGGCCGTGCTTGCAGTTGGAGCTCGTGTGTCACATGGGGGCAAAGCGACCAGTGCGGCCCGACCCAAGCAAGCCATGTCAAACTGGTCAAGCTACCTGAGCGTCAAGGACGTCGAGCTCTTGCAAAGTGCTAACCTCAGCAACTATGCCAAGCTGGACGTGGTAGCCAACCGCATGGTGCGCATTGGCTTGGACCTGCCAACAGAATCATCTGCAGGCCACATCTTAAAGCTCCTTGGCTTTGTGTTCAGTGAAGGGTTTACAAGTCACAAGTGCGAGCCATGTTTTGGCCCTGCTGTATCTCAGGGTTCACACGTCCGAGCCATGAGTAGGCCCTGGATAATCTCACACTGCGAGCACTGATGCATGGCCCTGCTTTACATTTCGGTTTTCATGTGTGATCAAGCTTTGGTCGCACGACAGCTTAGGGTCTGTGGCGAGCTAGGAGTGGCACTGGGCAATAACAAGCAATCGTTGGAGCTCCTGTAGACTTTGAAGTGCTTGATGCGGTCAAAGGCCAGGAAGGCTGGTAAAAAGAGCATGGAACACATAGAGACGTATCCATACAAGCCTTCGCAAGCCCTGATAGCAGTGGCCTACGATGCAGATGACCCACCGTGTGAAATCACTTCTCCGGTGGCAGGCAGGATCAGCTGCCTGAGGAAAACTGCGAAAGGGGTGAAGGAGGACTCACCTCCGTCAACAGAACTTGTTCCGGCTCCCGGGCAGCCGGCCACCAATGCAGTGGATGCGAATCCAATGGGATTTGGCCGAGAGGCCATGCAGATGTTCCAGATGTTTCAAATGTTTCAAAGTTTGCAAGGTGGCGGGTCGGGCGCAGGCTCATCAAACGCAGGCTCACCAAGCGCAGGCAATGGGGCAAACCTCCTCACCAACCTGCAGGTCTTTGGCAACAAAGGCAATGTGACCATGACACCATCCCCTGCGAACAGATTGACCGCGGAACCGCCCGCCAGTGCCGCCAAAGCAGCAACCGTAGCTGCCCCTGGGGAATCGCAGACTGATTCACAGGAACAATCGCCCAAAGGCTTGGAATTGGTTCTGCCACTCACCAAACCAGTGATTTCGCCAGAAGAGCAGCTTTCTTTGGTCAAGACAGCCACGGCGGAGAGGCAGGCTGCAAAGGAAGAAGCCAAACAGGCAGAAGCTGCAGCAGAGCAGCCTGAAAAGAAAGGGAAATCACAGGCCAAAGGAAAGGCCAAGGCAAAGGGGAAATCTGGCGCCAAAGCCAAGGCTTCCACGAAGAGACAAGCAGAGACCTCAGAAGTCTCCCGGCCTAAAGCCAAAGCAAAGGCATGTGCTGACAAAAAGATTTGGTCCAAGGAGGATCCGCCGCCCGTGCCTGCTCCGAAGAGTGGGACGACGTGGTACCGGCATGGGAAGATTCACCGGAACTCGGGGGCTTTCAGGGTCTTTTTGAACGCCGGTGATCGCTGTGACAAGAAAGTGAAGATCCTGGACGAAGAGAATTGCGGCGCTGAGTGGCAGCGAGCCTTGCAGTTAATCGATGAAGCGCCGGAGGATGTGGAGTGAAGCCTGTATGGCCAAACAGGCCTGTTCGGGACGGCTCATGTAGGTGTGCTTTGGGAAGCTTGTGAATGTAGATAGACTGTGTGCCACGCAGTACACACATGTCATGTGGAAGCCTTGACACAAAAGAGCTTTTGTGCGCGCAATTTGGAACAAACACCTTTCAGACGTGTTTTGAAACAACAGTCCTGTCATCATGAAGACTTGGCCAGCCAATACGTTTTTCAAGTGAATATTGAAACAAGAAACATGTCAGTCACCCAGAGTTCTTTTCAACCAAAAGGTATTTCACAAACGCAGACACACACACATATCTCGTATCCGTGTGCGTGCACTTCTGTTTTTGCTGACGCGTGATTCAGGCCTTGGTCGAATCAGGCGCGGCCTGAAAGCTAAACGTGATCGATGTGACCATCTCAGGTTGTCCAACGACAATGTTTGTTTTCACTCCGGCGAGCTGAGAATGAACAATACACACACTTCAGTGATCTTCAGTGGCTCAATTTGAACTGACAGTGACCTTTGAAGACAAGACGCATATAGCCACGAATGCATAGATCCTTTGAAACACAGCATGTACAGCTCTTGCAGGCCCATGCAACACATAGTTTTGTTGGAATCATTTTGCCTCACAGGGCCGAAACACGGCTCGTGGATGCATGCGCAGGGTCATCCAGTTGGCTCGCGCAATATAGTCTTATGAGCTCAGGTTCTCGATCGTCACGCCACGTGTACGTGGCTGCTGCTTCCCACGCTTTCGTCAGCCAAAGTGGAATAGTTGCGGTTCTCAAGTCTGTCAGAGAACATGGCTTGCCTGATGCCATCAGCCGCCCAACGTTGAAGAGGACCAGGCGACAGGCAATGCCGGACATGACGCCGTTAGGCCCCCTGCATGGCAGCGTCGACCTGCAGACTACAGACGGGGGCATGGTCAAGTTACCGGTCATGAACCCGTGGGCTTTGTTGCATGCCACTTTGGAAAGATGCGAGTCGTTTCGGGATTTCTTCGAGGGGGTCATGGCATCCTGCAAGAACACGGCAGAGACACCTTTCAAGGTGGCACTCTACTGCGACGAAATACTCCCAGGAGATCAACTGAAACCTACAAACCAGCGGAAGCTGGTAGCTTTCTACTGGTCGTTGCTGGAATTCAAGGGTCAGTTGGGTAGGGATGGCCTTTGGTGGCAAATTGCAATCTGCCGCACAAGCCACGTTAAGCGGATCGCGGGGCATTATTCGCAGATCTTCAAGCAGATCTGCAACTTGTTTCAGACCCCTCCCTATGATGGCAGGCGTGGGCTGCAACTCCCTTTGAGGGGACCTTGCAAGTTTGGTTTCTTCAAGGTCGGGCTCCTTTTGGCGGATGAGGCTGCCCTCAAACAATGCTGGAGCAACAAAGGTTCCTCCGGACTGTTCATTTGCCTATTTTGCCAAAATGTCACCAACCATCTATTGAATGTGGCAGTTCACGACAAATCTGACTGGTTGGTGCCAAGTTCCGTTTGCAGCCTGGACCGATGTGTCCTGCACACTGATGAATCAGTTATGGCAGCTGTCAGGAAGCTTAAGTCGGACAGGCCTGGCATGGGGAAGGGCGCCTTTGAAGAGCTAGAAAAATCATTAGGTCTGACGTTTGCGCCGGAAGGGGCGCTCTTCGATGAGGACTTCATGAGCTCTATTCCTGGAGTTGTTTCCATGACGTCATTTGACTGGATGCACGTTTACCTCGTCAATGGTTTGTGGAATTCCGAGGTACCTCTCCTGATCGACAAGGTGAAACAAGAGCATGCAATGGGGCTCTTGGACTTTGTTGTTTATTTGAAGAGCCTGTCATGGCCCAAGAAGGTTTCCTCAAGAGGGACTAGTGGCGTCAGGGCAGTTGAGAAGCTGAAGGATGGACAGCTATCATGTTCGGCTAGTGAGGGTCTGTCCCTCTACCCAACACTTCGGGCCTTTCTGATGACTCAAGTCCCGCAATCTGTTGGAGCAGCGGCCAAGGCCGTCCACAGCTATTATTGTTTAGCTGCCGCGTTGGATCTTCTGCAGAGAACCCGATCCGAGAGCGTGTCACCCATTGAACTTTGAAGGGGTTCATTCAACGAACTTTGACAAATGTTTTTTGGCATAGGTTTTTGAACATTTTGACCATGACTTGCGTGTCACTCACGCACAGCTGACCCAGGAACTGCGGCAAGCCATTGAGGCGCACTTGGCTGCCCGATTGGATTCATACGGGCCTAGACACATGCAGCCCAAAGCTCACTATGCTTTGCACCTTCCCCTGATTCTACAAAGGGACGGTTTGCTAACAAGCTGCTGGGTTCACGAGAGAAAACACAGATGCTTGAAACGACATGGGAACCAAAGCACAAATTGCAACACCAGACTTTCTTGGGGGAATGGTATCCTGGAAGAAGTTGTTTTATCCCAGCTTTTGGAAACGGAAGAGTGGGATTGCAAGGCAGGGGTAGTGCTTACCAGTGCCCAGAAAGCTTCTGATGCCTTGACCCATGCGGTGAAACACGCCCTTGGACGAAATATGGATTCATCCTTCGAAGTTTTTGTGTCGCAAGACGCTCTTTGCAACTACGAAAGCATCAGCCGTGGAGACGCAGCTAAGACCAGCTCACATGTTGTTGAGGTTTGGTTCCACTTGCGAGTCGTGTCAGACAGCAGTGGCGAGTCTTTTCACTCTGTCGTCTCCAAATGGAAGTCCGTGGGGCCCAATCAGTTCAAAATTACTGATGTCCCAGAGTTGGTACCAACTGGAAGCCTTCAAAGGGCAATCCCATTTTCTGCGACTGGAGACGTGGCAACCGTCGTCCCTTAAAAAGATTGCACTCACACCTCACAGGTTCTTGTTTTTGAACGTCATGACTCATGCGCAGTACCAGTTGTCACAGACCATGGTTTTCTGCCAGCTGGCAGGTGATGCTCATGCACCATGTGGTCCTGGACGATCGAGCCTGGGTCGATCAGCATACCGCTACACTGAAGCGAGCCAACGTTGAAGGCCCTGCGCAGGTCAGAAAATAAGCGAGCCACATACGCACAGGCCCTGCTTTTTGAACGCGAGCGTTGCTAAATGTAGGGCCATGGTCTGGGAGTTTCGACCGCGCCATGAACGAGCAGGTTTTTTTTGCAAAAACTCGCAAGCGCAGGGCTCATGGAGAGCTCGCGTTTTTTCAAAAATCTGCGATACGGCATCGTGAAAATGAGCTTTGTGCAGGCTCTTTTTTTTTGCAGGTCGTACCAATTATCACATTTATCTAACCATGGTTATAAATGCTCTAAACATGGTTGCGTAAGGGTGATAAACGTGTTTAGCTAAGTGGGACAAACGTGTGCTAACTATGTTTATAAAAGGGCTAAACATGTAGTAAGCGAGGCAAATGTTTAGCAACCAGCGCGGGCATCCAAGCAAGAGGCAAGGGCCAAGATCGACGAGCTGGCGGCGGAGACGAAGGTGAAGAAAGAGGCCACTTCGGCCGAGTGAATGCCCTCTGGGAGGCATTGAAGCGATTGCGGAACCGGATGCAATCGAGCTGTCCAACACGGCTGGAGGCCGACCTGGACGCCAATCCTGACAACAACCACATGAGCCCAACACAACAACCCACACGGAATCGCGGAGATTCCGATCTCCCTCCACACGGCACTACGAGCACGACGAGCCGTACGTTTGGTGGGGAAACCTTTGGCACTGCATGCGTGACAAGTTCTACTGGCTGTCCACGTCCCTCTATATGGCAAGAAACCATGAGATCAAGGATGATCGCCTGTACGAACCACATGACGGAGAAGGTCTCACAGCAGCAATGACGGTGACTTTGATGGAGCCCGTCCGGGAGATGATCAACCACATCAGCCCTCAGGTTGACATCATGGAGATCGCCTGCTCGCCTGAATCGACCCTGACTGGAGCCTTCATGGAGCGAGGTTTCTATGGCGAGCGGATCAATTTCAAGACTGGGTATGACCTCGACACCCGGAAAGGGACTTCAAAGCTGGCTAGCCGGATCCAGGAAGTCACCCCACGACTGGCATGGGTATCGTTCCGATGCACTCGACTGTCAAGCCTCCAGAACCTCACGGAACGAACACCGGAGCAATGGGATGCCTTTAAGAGTCGTGGACGAGATCTTTCTCGGTGTGACGAGATCGCTCGAGGGCTAGAACCCATCATCTCTTCTGGCAACGACATCGCCTGGGAGTGGCCGACATCTGCTACTCCAGGATGGGAGTCCCGAGCAATCAAGAGACTGGTCTTCTCAATCCGGCGGCATGGACGAAGTGTCTATTGGATCCGGGTGGACGGCTGCGCCTATGGTTTAGAATGGAAGGGAACACCCCTTCGAAAGGCATGGACGATCCTCACGACCAGTCGGGACCTCTGGCTGACTTTGAACAAACGATGTGATCGGTCCCATGAACATGCTGAATGTCGAGGACAGGCAGCCGAAGCTTCAAGCCACTATCCGAAGGCACTATGCCGAGATGTGGTCAAAGGGATGACTTACCAGTGGCAACAAGAGAAGAGCGGACTGGAAAAGTCCGTCGAGGCCTATCTCCTTGAGCTTCCCATCGGCACGAGCGAGGAGACCACACCCGTGCTACTTCCCGGAGAAGAACCTGACGAACCTCCTGGAGAACTTCAAGAACCTCAGATCCTTGCCCTCAGTCGGAAGGAGCTGAACTTGGAGACAGCCCACGGGGAAGCGACTAGAAGCCATCAAGCAGATGATGCTGAGGGTACACCGGGCAAGTGGACAACCTGGAATGTCGAACCTGGTGCAACTCCTGAAGGCAAGAGGATCCCCGGGGTGGGCATTGGAGATAGCCAGTAAGCTGGAGTGTCCTGAGCGCAAGGAGGCCTCGAAACCAAGACCTAGACCACCGGCAAGCCTCGGAGAGACTCCACCCATCTATGAGCATTTTGGAACAGATGTGTTTGAACATGAGTGAAACACAAACTGATTCTCTGGCGAGATCGTGGTTCAGGCCTGACGATGATCGACCACCTCCAACGGTATGAAAGCGGAAGCTGGGAGCCAACCTCTGCCGATGTGATCCGGTCACTCACCAGATGGTTGATGACGCATCTCCTAAGTGGATCGTCACAGACAGTGGTCGATACTACACCAGCCAGGAGTTTATGAACTTCCTCAACCGATCTGGCGTTGGCCTGACGATCGCCCCGGCTGAAGCACATTGGCTCATGGGCTTTGAGGAGGGAGCAATTGGCTTAGCAAAACGAACGGTGGAGCGACTCACCAAGGAAGGCAGTTCCCTCAACGTCCCCGAGCTGTACCAGATGGCAGCAGCAGCGATGAATGCCCACGTCGGGCCGAGTGGCTTCAGCGCCTACCAATGGGTCTTTGGAGCTGGAGGAGGAGTTCTGGATGAACAACAACTTCTTCAGGGGATCGACCCGAACCGGGCCTGTGACAAGCTGGTGAAAGAGCGCGAGAAAGCGAAGATCGCCTTTGAGAGAGAGAGAGCCCGGGAGAGATTCAGCAAGCTGGCAAACGCCATTGGGAGAAAGGTGGGTCAGTATAAGCCTGGTCAACTGGTGATGATCTGGCGACAACGAGTTCGACCTGGCAAGGTGAAGGGCAACTGGACGGGACCCGTTCGACTGGTTCTCATGGAAGGGTCTACTGCATGGATGACGTCAGGTGCAACCCTCATCAGAGCGAAGGTGAACCAGATTCGACCTGCGTCGCTGGAAGGAACTGCCATCTATAAGAATCCCGTGTCACTGGAGTCACTGATGAGGAGCTTTCAGGGTCGCTACTACATGGACATCTCAGGTGACGTCCCGAGTGAAGATCTTCAACGTGGTGACCTCTCAGCTTCTACTCCTCTTCTTGAACCTCGAGGACAGCGCGGAAGATGGCATGAAGGCAAACGCTTCCTGGTGAGACACCACGAACTTCCACGACTTGCTCTTTTCAACCCAGGTCGAGCAACCAACTGCCCCGTGAAGATCGAGGACCTGGTGGGCAGCAGACGCACTGTCGTGCGCCCTCTGCACGGCGGTGACGAGGTGACCATCCATGACACGATAGACGAAACCAGAAACCTTCAAGATAGATGGAAGGGAGAAACCTGGTTTGAGGTGACTCCAGAAGTTCCAGCCAAAAGACAGCGTGTGAGAAGAGCCAAGGGTGAAAAGAGAAAGGCCGACGATGATGACCCTCCTGAAGAGAAGAAGGATGACAAGGTGACCACCAACATGGAAGAGGACCTGGAGATTCCTGAAGGCGTCGCCTCATCGGCATCAGGATTGAGGACGGCACTTCAAGAACGTGGACCTGATGCGGTGGACAACCTTTCCACTCCGAGGCCTATCAGGAGCCAACCGGCGTCCAGTACCAGAATGCGACCTACCAGGTGGACCGAGATGGCCAGACTTTCCTCTATGACCTCTAAATGAGGGGAGGCGAGCACCCTGGAGCTGAAGTCCCGGTACCTGAAGGTTCCTCTTCGTCTTCTACATCCTCAGATGCTGGTTGACGGCGAGTCCAAGCCACCGGCAAGTCCAAGCCGGATGAAGAGGAAGAAACCTCCAGAAGAGACCTTTGTGGCCTGCTCCTTCGAGGTGAACGAGGATGACCGCCCAGGAAGAGATGAAGGTGACTCCAGAGCAGCTGATGAAAATGCGCTGGGTGTTGACGCGCAAGAGCGACGGGTCTGCAAAAGCCCGACTAGTGGCGCTAGGCTTCATGGCGCACAATTTGACAGAAGTGGCCACGGCTTCGCCAACTATGTCCAAGGTTGGCCGCAACCTGATCCTTGCGTTGGCCGCCGGCCTGAAGTTCAAGGTTAAGGCCGGCGACGTGACGAGCGCCTTTCTGCAGACTGGCATCAGTCTGGAGGATGAGGAGTTGAACGTCCTGGCACCGCCGGAGCTGAGCGCCATGTTTGGCGCCTCCGATGGACAGCAGAAGGCTCTGAGAGTTCGAGAAGCTTTCTACGGCCTAGCCCATGCTCCCAGGAAGTGGTGGGAGCGGTGTGTGAAGACGATGGTGGAGGCCGGATGGCGGCAGCTGCTGAGCGACAAATGCTGCTTTGCACTCTACGAGCCCGAGTCCATGACTGGAGATCAGCAGCCAAAGCTGGTCGGTTTGGCCGGACTACATGTTGATGATTTTCTGCTTTGTGGCGCAGAGACCTCTGAGCACTTCAAGTCACGTGAACGTCTTCTGAACGAAGCCTTCCGATGGGGACGATGGAACGAGGACAACTTCGAGTTCGCTGGATGTACCATCATCCAGAACAAGGACTATTCCATCATCCTGAACCAAGAGGTGTACACGAACAGATGGATCGAAGAGATCAACATTGACAAGACAAAGGCAAGAAAGACGCCTCTGAATGCAGCGGAGATCTCCTCCATGAGAGCCGCCTTGGGGACAGTCTCCTGGAGAGCGACGCAGTCGGGGCCGCAATTCCTGGCAGAGGCATCGCTTCTACTGAGCGAGATCAGCAAGGGCACCATCGAGACCCTCTATACAAGGTCAACAAGCTGGTGCGAGAGATGAGGCGAGAAGCCGGGCAGGGACTGCTCTTTCCTTCAAGCTGGCGCTTCAAGGATGTGAATGACCTGGCGGTCATCACATGGGCCGATGCAAGCCAACACAACCGCCCTGACAAAAGCAGCGCGCGGTTGGCATCATCACCGGGCTGACGGTGAAAGAGGCCCTGGCGGGCGAGGAGGTGCAGATCGCTGTGGTCCAGTGGAAGAGCGGCAAAACGCCGCGCCAGTGCTTAGGCTCCAATGGAGCCGAGGTCCAAGCCATCACCATTGGCGAAGACCAAAACTTCCAGATTCGGATGATGGTGGCCGAGTTTGGAGGCTATGAGGTGAAGAGAGGCCTTGTCCATGAGACGGCAAGGGAGGTGCCTGGCGCGCTGGTGATGGACAGCCGAGGCATCTATGATGCCATGACCCGCAACATCAGCAGCCTGCACGGCCTTCGTGATAGCCGAGCAGGATATGAGCTGACCTTGGCCGTCAACCAGGCCTTAAAGGCAGCGACGGAGCTGAGGTGGGTGAACGGCCTGGCGCAGCTTGGTGATTCCCTCACCAAGTATGGGGCCCGCAAGACCCTACTCCAGTTTTTCAGCCAGAAGCAGCACTGGAGGTTGGTGCACGATGAGAAGTTCGAGGCCGGCAAGAAGGTGCACAAACGCGCCATGGAGCAGAAGCTTCGAGAGATGCAAGATGCCTACGTAGCATCCCTGAAGACCATGGCCCAAAAGAACAACTGGCCATGGGATTTTGGCTGTGAGGAACCAGCCTATGACATCCTCAGCTGAGTCCAAAAAGGGCCACGAGGATGGTGGTGATGCAAGGATAGCGTCACGACATGTCCCTTTTTGCACTTAACCCCTGACCATAGCGGCGGGGCTCGAGCAGCGAAGCCAAAGAGGTTGGCGCGCGATCGCGCGAGGGTCCTACGTGGACCGCGTTCGTCCTTGCATAGGACTGTTTGCAAGAAGCAATTGCGCTAATTAAGCAATGATGCCCCTTTGAGAACCTGAGGCCGAAATGCTGCAAATTCTCCTGGTCTAAGTCACATATAGAGCACCCAGTAGCAAGACATCCTCTCACGATCAACGGCCTCAAAGGGAGGGTCACGACCTGTTGCACCCATTTTGAGGCAACTCCGAGCGTGGCCTTGGATGTCCAGAAATGCCTCCAGCTTCAAGAGACCGTGGAGCTTCGAGCACCTACGGATCGAGCAAACCTTTTCTATGTTGTATGTGCCTTGACCAGGGGCCAGCCATGGTCAGGCCATTATCCGAAAAAGGCATCCAAGATATGCAAAATCCATCCGAAAGGAAATTAGAGGTGGCATACATAACCTCATGGAGGACCAGGCCTCATGAGGGGTGCCTTTTTTGAGTTTCCCAACGAGAAGAACATGTTTGGATGCTTTCCACAGAGAAACAGAGGCTTGCTTGCTGAAAGAACAAAGAAAATCAAAGAAACAAAAGGAAGTGAAGAAAGAAGGACAAAAAGGGGAAAGAAGAGAACACGACAGTTCAGAAAATTGAGCCAAACGGCAACAAGGCAGGGGGTGGTAAGGAGGCTCAGGACATTTGGAGGAGTGGAAGTTGTCTTTAAAGGTGGATTTGGTTTCAAACTAGCTTTGCTATTGCCCACCAACTTTGGAAAATAGCAGTGCGGATGAGAAACAGTGCGGTGAGTCTTTATATTAATATTACATTACATATATGTGCCTCCTGCGCACACCCATAGTTTTGCTAACTTTACCACATTGCATCGCTTTTCAATTCTTCATCCTTCTCCTCTCGCGTATAGAAACGGGTGCAGCAACAGTCCTTCCTTAGCTGGAAGCATGCACATCTGCAAATCGGCACGCTTATCGTTCCACGAGTTTCTTTATGTGTGCTGTACCCACACGCATGACACATCGTTCGATCTCTTCAAGAGTGACTCGGGAAAGGCTTCGGGCGACTTCTCCGAGCGGCCGACCAGGTCATCGTCCAAAGGCGGCCGCAGATGTGCTCGAGCTGGTGCTGAGCACCATCCGAAAGTTTCCGCAAGGAACGCCGGGGTTGGTCTACTGCATCACCAGGCCGGCCGTCAAGAAACGCATTGCAAGGCACAAGAAAAACTGCAACACGTGAAGACACCCACATACAGGCAGCATGAATACATGTGCAAGTCAGAAGTCGCACTTGCCGCCGCTTGGTTGGACACTATATTGATTGCAACATGCGGGTTTGTTCCGTAGGGTGGCAATCGACATCCCCTGGTGATAAATTTGTTATTCAGTATTCAGATGTATTCAGCCAGATTGACACCAAGACACCTACTTTGCCACGGAACTTGAGTGGTACGAGCCAATCTTTTGGATGTGGCCCTCCTTGTAGCTTATGGACTATTCAATGCTCACATGCTGTACGGACTCTATGGACTCTTGTTTTTGTGCGGTCTTTGCGCTGTGTAGGAAGGAGGCTGAGAGCCTGCGAGAAGGCTTGTCAGAGCATGTGCGCTGTGCCTTCTACCATGGAGATTTGAGCGCAGACCTTCGCCAAAAGGCAACACGCTGTATGCTCCATGCATGCTCATTTGATTGAAATATAGTTTAGGATTGTGCATGAAAGTGCGAGTGCTCTCCGATGAGTTTGGTAGGTGGCATCTAGATCAAAAAATAAACATGTAAAGGATCGAAAGAAAAGCATAATGTGATCAAACATGATCAAACAGAAAAAGAAGTAAATGAAACACAATCAAGTCTTCGAGTCTGGTGGTGCCCTAGGCCCTTGGGTATCCTGGTCCGCTGGTCTGGTCCATGATCCTTTGGTGCCCTAGTCCATTGGTCCCCTGGTCCTTTGGTCCCCTGATTCTTCGGTCGCTGGTTCTTTGGTCCCGTCATCCTTTCATCCCCTGTCCTTTGATCCCCTGGTCCTTTGGGGCCCTAGTCCTTTGGTCGCCTGGTCCCTTTCCTGGTCCGCTGGCATCGTGGTCAACTGGTCAATGTTGGTCAAAAGCACGAGGTTTGCGAAAACAAAGCGCTACCCGGTTGAATTGATCCTTTCGTCACTTTTTAAGTGGCCTTCATTGATGAGGCAATGGGGTGTGTAGTTTTCGATGGTGATCTATTTTATGGTGCCTCTGAGCCTGATGGCTTTTGATGTTTGGTTCGCTCTGGGGGGGGCGGCGGGTTCCAGCGCCACGAAATCTGCTACATTTGCCAATGAGCTGGGCCTACCAAGGTCACCCACGCACCCATCGCTCTCACAAAATATTGCATGCGCCCCCCGAATGTTTTTGATTTTGTGTTGCACACAGTTGCAAGCATCCTTTCACTGTCCTGTGGTGGACGGGCCCCTCATTGACTGGGCAATGCGGTGTGTAGTTTTTGATGATGTGTTTTGTGGTACCTTCAGCGTCTGGTGCCTTTGTAGTTTGCAACCCCGCTTCGGCGCCACGAAATCTGCACTACTTTGGCCAATGCACTGGGCTGCCACGGCCGACTTTTAAAAGGTCACCCCATGGCATACCCACGCAGCAAGTATTGCACACCCTCGCCCAAATTTTTGATTATTTGTTGCTATCATCCTTTTACGGTCCTTTGGTCGCCCGTCCTGCTGCTGTTGTCCTTTCCCTAGTTTGCTTTCCCTTTCATTGTTCACTGGGAATTTGGTCCCTTTCCTTTTTTTGATGTCGGACGAAGATATTCTTTATGTTGTACTTATTTCTTGTGATCCCTCACCCTTGGTAGGTGCACTCGGCTTGGGTGGAGGGAGAGGTCAATGTGGTCGTGGCAACTGTGGCGTTTGGCATGGGGATCAACAAGGCACAACTGGAACCAAAGTCACACAAACAGAATGATAGGTCCCCACACCAGGGAAAACTTTACACCAACAAAGTTCATGCACATTCAGCGTTTTCGTCTGTGATTTTGTCCGAGAAGACGGAAACAAGGGGAACGCGCCCTCCTTCCTTTGGCTTAGTTTTTGCTTTGGCTGGCGCAGGGAGACGTGCGCTTTGTCATTCACGCCGGCTTGCCAGCGTCCCTCCACCATTACTACCAAGAGTCGGGCCGCGCTGGCCGAGACGGGAAGCCAGCACTTTGCTTATTGCTCTACCGGCCCAGCGACGTTGCCCGACACAGTGTGATGAAGCTCCTAATGCATTTTGCATTCTGATTTTTTTGGATCCGAAACACAATGTGATCGGAAAAAACACGAGTGCTTTAGTCCACTCTTTGGCCAGGATGAGGTGGAGTACTACTGAAGGGTACTGTTAGAACACAATTCTATAGGGCGTAATTTACTGTAATTAATATGAACAATGATTTATTGCCCCAGTGATTGCGCACTTGCTCACCCAGGAATTACTACAAGCCAGCATCCTTGCGTGAAATCTATGGTGCAGCAATGTATTGCAGCTGGTCGTGCAACATCCATGTCTCGACATCGTTTTGTTTATCGCGGTTTGGGAGCCTTGTTTATGCCGAGGGGCGACCCGTGGAGAAAGCTCATGAAGGCTTGATATTCGTTGCATCGCTATGCTACGCCTCCCCATATCAAGACTGTTGCTTCAATTTTTCAAGCGACATATCCCAAGGTCAGCGACCAAAATGCCGCCGAGCCCAGATCTCGAAGCACTTCGGGGAGCCGATCCCGGCTTGCTTTGCCTGCGACGTTTGCACGCTGGAGGTCAGATTGGTTTCGATATGAATGATAGGTCCCGTACGCTAGTCGGGGTTGCTGTTGCAAGTGTACTGCTGCATTATGCTGGGGTATCGGTATTAGGATTATTAGGAGTATGTAGGAGTGGTTCTGACCATGTTTCTGTCAAGAAACTGATGAAGGAAAAGAGTCAACCGAGCCCAGCCTCATAGAGACTGTTGTACCTTTCCTGTACCGACAATCGAGCAAAACGAAGACATCGCGTGATGAAATTCTTGGACGGCATTTGGGCCCCAATTCTTCCCAGCCAGAACCAATGTTTAATTCTATGAGAGCCAGGAGGGCCGACCAACGCAAATTTGTTTCAGAATCTTGCTACCTGGGTGCCGTGCCCGTGCTGTGCCCGTAGCAGTTCTCCCGCGCCATGCCCGTGGAGGTAGCCTGCCCGTGGAACCCACTATGGAAAACAGCAAACATCCCTTTTGTGTGGCGATTTTCTTCCGTTGCGGCAAGGTGCCTCCGAAGCGTCAAAAAACGCGCAGCGGCAGCGCGCCTCCAGAGGCCTGGCGTGCTGCGTGCCAGGCAGCTGTGGCGGTGAGAGGCCGCACAAGACCCGAAGAAACAGAATCCCAGGAACTACTTATAAACTGATACATGGTACAAAGCGAGCGCTTGGAAACCGATGATGTGCTTTGTAATGTTACCCCACGCGCCGCTTCAAAGACAGTGGAACTTGACAACGACAGATCTACAGATCTACTTGGAACGCTGAAGTTGTTCTAGTGGTTGATGTTTCCTGGGTTGTTTGAGCCACCGAAATTCTGAAGCTGCGGAGGGCTGAACACATGTGAATTTTCCAAAGGGATTGCTTGCACCCTGGCCCCCCATTGAATAGCAGGGCACGACTTCCCACCACTGAGCCATTATCGACGACCAACATTGAACCAACCAACACTGTTTTTCTTCGATTTTGCAGGGTCGATTTCTCCTGGCGCCACCCTTGGAAGGACAAGAGGAGCAGTTGACGCTGGCAAAACTTTGCGACAGAGTTCAGAAAACATGCAAATGGAAAGGCGAGGCAGCGACCGAGGCTTGGGGTTGGGCGCGGCCGAAGATCGTTTGACAGTGTTAAACACTCAGAGCAGAAAACAAAATAAATGTGATTTTTGCACAACTCAACCCTGTGGAGGATGCTATGTATGTTTGCATGTCTTTGCTTGGGACTGGATACCTTCGGGAAGAGTTTCGGCACTCGCCCTATGCCACCAACGCATATTTAGTTGGAACGCCTTGTGCGGATCGCGTCCTTGAGGGGGAGCAGGTCCGCACAGAAACGTTGGAGCTTGGACTGCCCCACGAATTGCTGCGCAGCGCTGTGGCCCCTTAGCGGGGAATTGTCAAACAGTTTGGTTCAAACCGCTGTGAATTGAACACGGTTGTGGTTCCCCTCTCCCTCTCTCTCTGTTTAAGCGTGGTTTCTCTCAGGATCCAGGCCCGGCGGCTCGGGCAGCAGAAGAGGCCTCCCAGTTGCGCAAAGCCAGTGACGAGGACACGAACCTGCGGCTTCGGCGCTTGCGAAAGCTGCGGGCACAGCTGGGAAAGTCACCTGGTGCGGCAAACCAATAGGAGATATGAGTCGCAATCTTCTGTCATGTTTTGTATTTTGCTGGAAGGACTCCTGAAATTAGATGCGAAGTGAAGATTACTGCCAGTTGTTGAAGTCGAGACGTGTTTTTTGCAAATAGCAGATAGAAGGTGATGAGCAAGCCAGGAAGTCGATACACTATAGCGTTTCCTTGCAGGATAGAGTGTGTTGGAAGATGTTTTCTAAATGCATGGTTTTATTCAATGGGCTTGGTTTACTCAGCGTTCACAGTGTTTTGATTGCACAAGACCTACCGCAAGGAAGTTGGCAGGCAACCCATAGGTTGTTTCTAGAGGTTTCTATAGGCAGCCCATAGGTTCCCCTTCATCTTGGGATTGTGGGTCTCATATGTCCAACCCTCCAAGGGCTTATAGGGCCAACCCTCGGAAGCAGGGTCCGCGTGGAAACCTGGCTTCCGCTGTGAAGCGGGCACACTATTGAGTGGCATGAACTTGTGCCAGATGAGGTGTGCCCTTGGGGGAAAGCTTGATTGGGCTACCTTCGCTGGTGCTGCCGGTCTGCTGCTGGTTTTCTGCTGCTGCTGCCTTGCTGCTGCTGGTTGGCTACTGCTGCTGCTGGCAGTTAGCTGCTGTTGGTTTGCTGCTGGTTGGCTGCTGCTGATTGCTGCCGGTGCTGCTGCTTGCTGCTTGGCTGCTGCTGGTGCTGCTTGTTGCTGCTTGCTGCTGCTTGTCGCTGCCGCTGCTGCGACCTGGGCTACAAGGCCTACTCATTTGCTGCCTGTCATTGTCTTGCACGCCCTATGATTATAGCAGGCTTCTTCCATTGCAGACTGGGCATTGGAAACGTGATATCAAGCTTGGTGGCAGGCCTGTTTGGTGAAACGCGGTGCCCCATGCGGAAACAAGTATCGCAAGGACGCTGCCGTGACTTAGTCGCGGCGTGGTGTCCCAGTTCTTGATTGGTTGCCACAGCTGCATTGCAAGGACTTTTGTGTTTGGGTGTTAGTGGGCATGGGTCTTCTGGGCAAACGTGTTCATCTCGCCCAATACCTCGCCCACATCTCGCCCTCTATCTCGCCCAACCCACCAGGCACCAGGACCTCCAGAGGTGTGCGATGGGGATTGCCATTGTCACAACACATATGTGTATATAAGCAAAGGCCTCTTCAATTTACATGGCCCCCCAGGCAAGGCGCGATTTGCAGGGTTCATGTTTTCAAGCGTTCATGTTCACATTTTTTGCAGGTGTGCCATGCGGAAGTGTGACCTGCACAGTCGTTGAAAGACAGGAACGCGCGCACACAGCACCAACGAAGGCAAAACGCAAGCTAACCATTGTTTTTTTGTGGTCTTAGCTTACTTCTGGCAGAGATCGGAAGCCGATGTGCCATGGGCCATGGCTATAATGTAGGATTTGCTCCTGTGATGTGGGATTGGTGAAAACGGTGTGCCATGGGATGATGTGGTTTCTAGCCTCGGCTGGTTGGGTGCTGCTGCTGCTGCTGCTGCTGCGGCGCTGCGCTGTTTTGCTGCTGGTGGTCGGCTGCTGCCAGTTGCTGCTGGTTTGCTGGCGCTGGTTGGCTACTATACTGCTGGTTAGCTGCTGCTGGCTTGGTGCTGCCTGCTGTTTGGCGGCTGCTGGTTTGTTGCTGCCGGCTTGCTGCTGCTGTTTGGCCGCTGCTGGTTGCCTTCTGCTGCTGTTGGGTTGTTGGTGTTGTTTTGCTGCTGGTTGGCTGCTGCTTGCTGCTGCCGCTGCCGCTGCCTGCGCTACAAAGCCTACTCATTTGCTGCTGGCTGTTGTTGCACAAACCCAATCATTGTGGCAGTGTCCGGTTGTAAACTGGGCTTGGAAAGCATGGTTTTGACGAAAGCTAAGTGACTCTGCCGTGACTTAGTCACGGTGTGGTGTCACAGAATCGGTGTGCCATGGGGGTTGGATCATTTCAGCCCATAGGAAACCTTAGAACCCATCAACGTGTAGAAGATTGAATCGCAATGGAATGGTGTAGGCTTAGAAACAATCTAGGCTAGGAGAAAAAGTGCTTGTTTCGAAGCGGTGTGCCATGGGGATTGAGAGAGGAATACACATAAGAACGCATAGATATTTCTGACGTTTAACGAACCATTCCATGCTGTTTGCACTCCAGGTAGAAACTTAAAGCTGGTACCAACATGTGGGTCAGAATCGGGGTGCCATGGGGATTGGATCACGGCAACCCATAGATAACCTTTGAAAACATCAACATGTAGAAGGTTGATGAAGGTTGAATCGCAATGGAATAGTGTAGGTTTAGAAACAATCTAGGAGAAAAAGTGCTTGTCTGGAAGCGGTGTGCCATTTTGTCCAAATGGGGTAAGTTCTTACATTCGTGGGGTAAGCGGTGTGCCATGGGGGTGGGTCAAGTTCATGTGCGATGGGGTAAGTTACCACGTCGGGTAGCTCTCCAACTTGCGTTGCCATTGGGATTTGCAGTTGAAGTTTTCTCTTTTTGGAAAGGTGAATCTGGAGAACCTTGTTCTGTATGTAGCGTTTACAATGGGGAAGGCCAGCAGTCTTGACTTAAGTACTGACTTTTGCAAATCGGCGTTCCATGGTGGTTTAGTATCCCACATGCAAAATGTATTAACTTCAACGGGCACCAGTTAGGAAAGCTACCAGAAAGGCTGGCGTGTAAAGTGTCAAACGAACTATACAACACAGACACACTTGATTGCGCAATGGGAGCACGCAATTGTGTAGTTTGTGCAAGCACCCTGACAAGTGTTTGCTCCTTTCTTTGGCACTGGGAGCCGGACGTTCATTTATCACGAAAGCTAGCATGCTAGCTGAGTTCTTCTTGCTTTAGCAATTGGTAGTGGAATGAGCTGCGCGCCTTAAAGCTTGATATATCACACTAAGGGGGGGGGGCCTGGCCCCCC